CCCAAGGACCATTCGCCTACACTTTCGCCCGTGTACATACCGTACGTAGGATCGCAAAACTCACAGGGGACCGTAATCATTTGCAGCGTGAACACCCTGGCCACAAACGGTTGATAATTCTGCAGCCGAGTGTGTATAGAGAGCACCTTCCGCATCAATTCGAGGTCGCTATACACTTTTCTCGTCAAGATACCCGAAAAGTCTTCAATGGTCGCCACCGGTCCGAGATAGTTCGGCGAGTCCGCGTGTATCCGCAATATTCGGTTCAGCGGCATGTTTAGACTGGTGGGTAAACTATTCAACCGTAATATTACGTGTTTGAACAAGTCCGTTGCATCGTCGGCGCGTACGGGCGTTTGCGACAAATCCACCGCCGTGTAGCTTTGTGTCTCGTGTTTGCAGTCGAGTACAACGGTAGGAATCTCGGGGATTATCGTACGAGAAAAGAACGGCGGAGTCTTTGTCTGCTTGACGCATTTACCCGTTTCTGGAACCCCCGCGTTAAACGACGGTATCGACTGCGACCCGCACATTATCACCACGGGTATCGGTAGGTTTTTTGTTACGTTGCTAATCGGACAATCGTATAGAGGATTTGTTTCTAAATTCGTGTCCGCGTAAAAATAATTTTTTCCGAACGGGGTCTTGTAGATCATGTGTTTGTACGGCACGTACTCAGAACACATACTGGCGTTGGCGGTTTGAATACCGTTCGATCTCCACCTCTTGTTCTTCTTGATCAACTGTGCCATGCGCAGACACCGTCCGGTCGTCGTYGCATTYTCGTTACTATCKAYGTTTGCGTCCGGTCGATCTTCGCGTAAGGCGGTGGCGTCGTTTGCGCGTCTGAAAACGGCATCAAGCCACCTGTCAAACTGCGCCTCGTCGTTGTTTTGCGCGTCGTTCTCATCGGTCATGTCGAACGCGAGTATATCTCTAAGAKCATRAYCGGTGTTACCGCGCTCCATTTCTTCTGTTAYAGCGCTCGCTATAACATYGTTAATCGACGCCTGTGCGCTCKGATCTACGTTCATCGGCGCGTCGACGAGTCCCGAGTTGGCTCCTCCGGGGTTGAGCATCTGATCAAACAACATCTCAAACATATCGTTGCCGCTTTGTTGTTGTTGTGAGTTGCGATCGTACATATCCAGAATCTGCGACGTCGCCACGTCCGCTTCGTCGTACATGTAAAGCGGCAGAACGTCAGAGGAAGATCCTGTCTCGGCGGCGACACAAAACGGCGCCTGTGTGTCTATGCTGAGCGCCAGGTCCGTTTCGAATCTGTGTCTGACCGCGCCGTTGTTGTTTTCTTGGTCAGAAGAAGATTGCAGCAATTCGGACACGCTCGCATCCGGCGGCCTTTTGCGAGCGTGATGCGACGCGTTTCCGTGTTGTTTACAAGGAATGGTAGTGGCTTTGCCCAGTATTGCCATTTTCTTGCGCGTTTCTTCAACTCGCGCGTTGTCGTTTAGATTAACCCGTACGGGGCGAATCTCGGGAACAATTAGAGTAACGTGGAAGGGTTTAACGCACGCCAACCTCGTCAACTCGGCCTCGAGATCGCCGACGCGCTCTTCTCTGAGGCTCGCGTCGATCACGTATTTTGATGACGCGTCGGTTCGTATTTGCGAGACATCGGCTTGTTTGGCTATAATACCGGCCCACTCTTCCGTCATCGAGGCCAAACGACCCAACTGAGCAAAGTTCATCAACGCCTCTATTTGTCCGTACCGGTTAAACGGATCGCGTATCTCGCGATCGAAAACGTTCAAGATAATGTTTGCACACGCCATCCCGAAAGAGGCGTCGTCTCTCTGTAAATTTCCGGCTCGATARAGACAATCTATTGCGCAATACGGCAGCAACGATATAATCTCGAGCGTTTCGACGTGGACGAAAAACACGTTATATAATCTGTACTGCGCTACCATCGTGACATCTTCCATCGCGTAGAGTTCTCGCGGGGGCCGTTTGTCAACCACGCACATTTCGCGCAAAGCTCCCAGAAAACCCACGATGACTTTATATTTGTCGTGTACGCTMGTCTCTTGTGAAATGCGCGACACCCACGTCCTCAACGGTATCCAACTCGCGTCTAACGTTGTAACGACGTGCAGCGCAACGGTGGTGAGTTCGGGGCCCGTTTCTTCTAAAATCACGCTGTCTATTTTTGGGTACACGGAGTCGCACACGCGCAGCTCCGCGTGACGTTGATCGTAACACTTTTCGTACGCCAACCCAATGTTTCCAAGATGACCTTCGATGTGTTGCTTCGGAACGGTCACGCAAACAGAATATGTGTATCGGTTTGGGTCGTTGGCGGCGGCGCACGCAATCAACCTGGGCGTAGTGGGTTGAACGTATACATTTTCGCTTACGTACTTACGATACACTTTGCTGGACCAAATAAATTTGTATAAACTTTTGGGCTCTCTGGATGGTAACGCGTCACCGCGCGGTGTCCAGCTCTTGTCCGCRATGTAACATTTTAGATACCACGGTATCGTGATATCAAACAACCTGCTGCATCGTTTGTTTTGATAACGCCACCATGTTTTTATAAACGCGTCGGCCTGTGTACGCGTTAAACTCGTCGTGGGCGCTGTTGTTTTTTCGCCGAGTCTWTCAAAGATACACTGAGCAACTGCGCGTATGTCATTGGGATTTGAGTAAAGCGCGTGCTGTCTATTTTGTACTAAATTAACAAAGAGCATGATAAATATCGGTGTGTGAAAGATGGCCAAATGTTGTAAGCACTCCAACGCATCGGTTAAGCCGACAAAACACGAATTTTCTATTGCATACACGAAAGATGTCGATTGATCGTCCGGYGCGTGTTTTATTACCAAGTTATGACATATTCGACATTGGTACTTGTGAGACGCGYCCGCTGTCTCCAACATAAAGATCGCCGGATTAAACAACTTTGCTGGCGGATAATCCTTTGGATAAAAATAATATTCTAGATCGTTCCTCGATGGGTCCTGCGGTGCAAGGTCCGTTTGAGACGTCGGCGTATTATATTCGTATAGGTATTGGAGCAGCGCGTCCGTCGTCGCGAATGCTCTTTGACCATAAAGGTCTAACGCTCCGTTGTATACGGATTTGGCAATCTTTGACCATCGTTCTACTACGTTCGTATGTAGCAACGGTGTCGTGTCCATGATGTTCGTGAGAAAAAAAATAACAACAATGTGTAACCAACCAGTTAAGAACAAACACGTATCAACAACGTAAGTACATACATTTAGTCTATTATACACACAAGCACATACAACAATGTATACAAACACATAACAAGAACATAAGTACATATATTTTTTTTATAAAAAAATATATACAATTGTATTTCAGTATACGTGTGTTTCATACAAACACGTATGATTTTCATTTATAATCGAAACATACAGTTGTTATTCTGATGCGACTCGTTTACGGTATGAATCAACATCATCTTATATTTGCGTTTGGTTTCATGGTAGTATAACGTATATTGCACCGCCAGGTCCGTGCAATCGCTTCCGTTTTGTCTCCGCGTCCATTCGATGAGTTCTGAGCATTCTTCCGGGTAGCACCGCGTCTCATCATTCGGCAACAACGTTCCGGTACTAAATGGCGTGGGGTTGCAGCAACCCAGAGGCAGCGCGTACCACCTCAATGAGAGCGGATCGTCGTCGCCTCCTCCGGGTGAACCCATGCGTGCCATATTCTTGGGAAGCGTACCGATAGCTTGTTCGGCCAATTTCTTGTCCCCTGTAAACGACACGCGAAGAAACACAGATGTTCCAACGCGCGGCGTGCGCGGTAATTTCCCCTTATAGTCGACCATGTCCAGGAGAATATAACAAACACCGTTGCGTTCGCTCGTGTAATCGACCATCGTCACGTCTTTCGGAAGTTGGTTTTTGTATCCAAGCAGCCACGACAAGACTTCCGTTTCAATGTCCTGGATGTGTTCGTTGTGATTAGACCACACGATCGCTTTCATTCCTTTGATCTTTGGGATCGCGTTGAAACAGTCCGTTATAACATCGAATGCGACCCACCTCAGGTCCATTGCGTAGAACGACTTATTTCTGATGGCCACCAGATGGTGCTTACAGGCGCCGACGAAACCGGGCGCTCTCGCGTCGATGAACGACAGCGCTGATAATTCACCAAACATTCTGTTGCTGTATTCCACGCAATCGAATGAACTTAGAGTACGCGACACCTGATATATTGCGCTGTAATTGGCGCTTCCTGGAAATAAATCCACAACGATACACTCGGGTATGTCGCCTCCTCCCCCTCGTCCGGCTGCAAACTGGTCCACTACGCATATGGGTCGTTCTATCATACAATTTGCGTGAAGAGGGCGTTTCGCGTAAACATATAAACCAGGCGGCAGTAHGCGCGAACGTTTCAGTTGATACACTAACACGGCACCGCTGCACCTGGCGTAGTTGCGTGTGCGATTGTTTAGGATCCATTTGTAGGCGGTGACTATATGGTTCAACTCGTACGCCCACAACAGAGAGGAATCCGGAGGGTGTTGTTCTTCTTCTTCTTCTTCGCCGCGGCCGCGTTTCGTCTTTTCGTTTGTAGACGCACTAGAGAAAGAAGCGCTACCATCAAACACACCGCCCGCATCCGCTTCACTTTCCCCGTCCGTCGTTTTCCGTTTGCTTGGTCGACGACGCGCGATACAGTTGCAATAATAATCACRAGGAAAAAGAGTGTTTTTATTATTGTTGGACTTGTTCTTCAGCTGCCGCGGCGGCTGTTGTAACAGCCGCGATAACAGCGTGGGGAAATTGTGACGGTGGTTYTGACACGCGTCCGTGAAGCGTTGCAAGTCTTCAAGTTGCACACCCGCCGCGCCGGGTATGTACAACGCGTCGCCAATTATCGGCACGGGATCCAACGACAGCGCCTTGAATATGGCGCAGCACAAHCGCTCAGTCGGCGAGCTCATGGTGAAAGATCGTGTCGTGTCGTCGTGTCAGCAGCACGGTCGGGCGGACCTCATGCACGTTCCGGCGGGGCTCGTGGATGACTGTGAACAAAAACACAGAGAAGTGTTAGCCAACTCCGGACGCAAGGCCACCAACTTGTACAGAAGAGTTTCGACAATTTCKCATCAAAACAAAAACAACGCGTGTAAACGTAGACGAAAAAACAACACWAGCAATATGTGCATCGTATGCACCGTGACTCTGGTTAAAAGCAGCAAAGACGTTACGAGATCGGGTGTGAGGCTCAAGTGTCCGTGCAACGTACGCGTTTGTGTTACGTGTTTTCAAAAGTCGCTTTGGTACGAAGCCGAACCCCACTATAGCACCTGTCCGACCATAAGTGATTATACTTGCCACGCGTGTTCGCTGTTTAATCGCGTTAGCGTTAAGCGYTGTTGCGTTTGGCTGTGTTCGTCGTGTATAGAGACGGAGACCGCCGCCGACTCGTGCGCGTACTGTGCGACGCCGCTTGAACGCGATCGTCGAGATGAAACCAGAGAACTGTGGAGCTCGCATCACACGAATTTGTGTTTGCGTAAACGTCAAAACAATGCCGCGCAGGTCGACGACGACACGACCTTTATCGACGAGGGTGGATACAGAACCGAAATACGCAACCGCGCGCTAGATAAAATAGCCAAGACGCGCCACATCACCAATGACGACATTTCGTTGTTGTTTTTCCRAAACGACGACCGTCGTCGCCGCTGTACGACGTGTACAGACTCTGCGCGCGATCCCATGTGTGTGAAATGYACGCCGATTATAACTATACTTGAACTCCTGGGTAAAAACCCGCGACCTCTGATCGCGTCCCTCGCAGAACGCATCGTACCCGGGAGGGCACTGGCGAGGCACGTGTACAATAGATCAATGCTCGTGGCTATACTCAACGATCCAAACGTACCCTTTTGCATCAACGGAGTATATTGTAAAGGCACGATGGTGACAAACGTCGACAACGGACCTTCTTGCGGGCGACACTCTGCTACGCGACCACTCAGGTCTCTCGTTAGCTCCAGCATATACGCGTCCGAACAGCAAGCGAACCGTTCGCCGTCGACGTGTAGCCGATACACAGCGTCGGCATGTATCGTGTGCATATTGTTCAATCAATCCGCAACAATCGGACATATGCTGAACCCGGACAAGCTGTACGTGGAGCCCGAGCCTCGCGAGCCCGTGTATTACTTTAATGTAAAATTATCTCCCGACGTCGGCGTGCCCGAGGTACCGGTGGACGACCAACATGAATTTATGATAAATTTTCAAGGATCCGTGGGTAGTTATAAACCAACATATTACTACAACTGGCGCGATATGTTAAGCCGTCTGCGCATTGAACACGATGGGAGCGTGGCGCTCTTATGACCGTATATAATAAAATCTGTGATGTTTCGTGTATGTTTTTATATATTTAACAATATCAAGATGACAATTACCAACCAAACACGGCCTATAACGCGAGCAAGGTTATCGAAAGCTTTTAGTTTTTTTTTTTGGTCTCCATTTCAATTTGTTTTGTTTTTTTTTTTTATGTACATTTTATAACCGACCAACAAGACCAAAAGTCCCTCCCACAT